TCCCCCATCATTCAACAGTCAAGAAGATGCACCATAGACATGGCTTCTCTACCCAGGTGTGTCAAATTGATAATTAAAGCTATCCAGCACATCCACCAAGGCTACTATGCACCAAACACCCTTCAGGATCCTAGAAAGGATACAGGGAACAAAACCGATAAAAATGCTTGCCCTGTTGAAGGTTGCATTCCCTCATGTTCTTGACTAATTTCTAAAGATCCCACCTGTTCTCACTGAGAAAGTCCCTTGGGCCTCATTCATAGACTGTTGACTTCCAAGGACTGGGATCATGTTACATGTGGTCTATCCATTGCTTGTTACCCTGTCATCAAGTCAAGAGGGAGGCAGAGGCCTTCATAGACAATGAAATATGGGAAACAGAAGATCATTACAAGACACGAGAAATATATACAATAAGTATTTCTATTTATTCCCATGGCTGGAAGACCAATCTCCCTTAAAGCATTTAAAAATAATCTTTTATTTTTATAGACCTGTTTTAAGAAAACTGCAGATAGCACATGCTATTTTCTGTTTTACCATAGATTAATAGAGTACACTTGTTCAGTTTATGAGTTAATATGAGCACATCACTTGTAGGAATGACTGTTATTAATGGACATAGTCTGGACTAATGATTTTAACTCCAGAAAAACCATATGCTCTTAAGTCTGATTACCTGGATGTCTCCTTGGTAACCTCAGTTTGATACTCCACCCAAAATGATAATGAATAAATGTGGGTATGCTTATCAAGGAGCTGCAAGCGATGATGCACCCACTCACCTCCGCTGGGAGCACTGGAGATTTGGAAAGGACTCTAAATGAATGAGATACTAGGGATGAAAAGAGTGATGTCTATTTGGCTCAGGGTGCAGTTGAACTTGTACTGTCCTAATGAAGCTGGAGAAACCATTTTGAATAAATTATGGGCTGGCCTGTCTGAGGATAAAGTGGGAAAAACAGGACTTCAGTGTCAGTTCCATGGGCACAGGGTGAGGACATGGCTTCATCTGCACAGATTCAGGGACGAGAGAGATCCATGGGCACAGTTCTTGGAGACAGAAGATTCTAGTAAATAGCGAGGGGAACTAGTGTCTCCCAAATTCAGGCCCACTCTTAAAAACTTAAGCATCTGTCTATTTAAAATGGCCAGGTGATTATGATATTGTTGCAATTGTAAACGCCACAGTTATTAACTAAATTCCATGTTGTGTTCAGATTTCTTGTTTTTCTCATTTTTCTGACTCTTCGTCCCCATTTAAGTTACATTGCCTTCATCCCTGTCCACATTTAGCCATAGCTAGCATCTCCTTAGATCCTTGTTAGCTGTGACAGTTTCTCAGGCTTCCCTTGTTTTCAACAATCTTAACAGTTTGGGGGAGGTTTTGCTCAGATATTTCGTAGATTGGCCTTTGGTTAGTGTTTGTCTGCAGTTTCATGGTTAAACTGGAGCTCTGAGTTTGGGGACTGAAAACTGCTGAGGCAAAGGACCATTTTACCATACAGGATCAGTACAGGCTTTCATAATGATTTATGACTGTTGACACCAACCTTGATTGTCTGCCTCAAGTAGTTTTTGTCAAGTTTCCTAGTGCAGTGTCTTCCCTTTACAAAACAATTCTTTAAATAGCAATTATGCACCATACACATTTAAGAGTTACAGAATTGGGTTTTAGTTCCTCAATAGCAGAGGATATAACTAATTATTTAGAATTCTTCTGTATGGAGGGTTTGTCCTTACTCCTCTATGAATTAACAAATTCATCCAATACTTATTTATATCAATATGGGCTCATGGGTACTTATTTTTTATCTTGACTCTATTCTTTTGCTCATTTTGACTGACTGCAGCCTTGGGGAACTTCATGTGCTGCTTCTTTTGTCCCTGTTACACACCTCCATTTATGCTGTTACTAAGATTAAGTATATATCCAAAGAGTTCATACAACTGTCTGGCACATGAAAAATGTTTGATGTTAGTAAGGTTGATGGGACCTGGTTAAAATCCATTCAGTCTCCAAGGTGTGAAATCAGTATGTCTGTCTCTGAGTCTGAGATTGTAGTCCTGGACATTTAACTGTTAGAGGGTCTAATCTTATCTTCCAAAAGCTTTTATATCTGTACATATACACAATTGATCCTTTTGACATTTTAGAAGGCCATTTTCTAATTTATTTATGCATATCTATTCATGGAAAGAATTGTGAATTCCTGACATATTTAAATATCCTATTCTACAATGCCACTAGAAAGGAACTGAATCGAGATAGTCTCTACTAGACATCACTCCACAATTCTCTCCTCCCTAGCGAGCAATGGAGACTTAGCACATTTGTATCCTGCTGTCCTACATAACACAGGTTTTAGTTCCAGCCCAAAGGGGAGCCTACAATTTGACTCAGACGTCTGTTTCCATTGCCAGCTCTGCTGTTCTCAGGCTTTGTGCCTTGACTCAGTCTATTTTCCCTGAGCACCGATCTATAAAGACAGCAGTGTACACTCTCTATGCTGTGTGAGGCAGCTGGCATGACCTATCACAAGGGACCTGCTGAACCCAAGGTCCCCCCATAAATCAACAATCTATAGTTATTATTACTATTTAATTTCTGTGTCCTAAGGTTCTTTACCTACTAATTCTGATTCTTCCCTATGAAAATAAAACTAAATTATGAGAAACAGAGAAAATTTTTATTGTAGAGTCATTTGTAGCAAAGAAAATTGTCAAACTAATTTACATACTCAACAATAGGAAATAATGCTGAAATGAGTTATGTTCAAATATTTGAATTGCAGCTACTTTAGGTACTGAAATTAGAGCTCAGTAGCCATAACACTTTAGAGCATTAGTGGAAGAGGGGAAAGAGACAATAATTAACCTCAAGCTCTGGTATGTAACTGTGTAAAATTATGTTTGTATGAATGGGTGTTTGTCTGTGTGTGTAGTGGGTTACCATTTAAAATGCAATTCTTTATTGTGGATTGTGGTTCAAAATGTTCAGGTCCTTGATTGATAAATGAGAAGTCATAATGACTAATGCTCCTGATAAAATAACCTGCACCAAGATACTGACTAAAGGCTTGTCAGATGAAAAAATGTTCACTATTGAACAAGACCAGATTGTTAGCAACTCAGACCTTGTTCTGTAGGGCTCAGAGAATGATCTAAAATATCCATACTTTGGGTTTTGAATGAGTGGATTTATTATAAGTGTATAGTAAGCCAATGTAAAATAATAAATAACAGTAGATAGATGATAGAGATTGGTAGGCAGACAGACATAATCTTAATATCAAGTTGGGCTCTCAAAACATCAACTGGGGAAGCCTCTTTAAGGCAGTCAACTGGAGTTCCCAACAGAGGAGAGTGTACCCATGAGTGAGGCTTTCAAGTAAATGAACAAATAACAGCAGGAATGTGACATCATCACATCAAAGTCTTGCAGCAAAAATCAACTGGCAAGTTGAGGTAATCAGTTAGATTCCAACTGAGCTTTCTCCTCAGGAATGAGCTTCCCTTGGTTGAACTTTTGGATTCTTTTTCCCACTGTAGACATTTTTCTATCATGAGATAAACAATAGTAATCTCTAATTTTTTTAATTTATTTTAATTTTATGTGTATGAGTGTATTGCCTGCATATATGTGAGTGCACCCGTGTCATGCAATGCCACGGAGGTCAGAAGAGGGCGTTGGATTTCCCCTGGAACTGGAGTTAATGACGGTTTGTAGCCGCCATGTGGGTGCTGGGAATCGAACCCAGGTCCTCTGCAAGAGCAGACAGTGCTCTTAACTGCTGAGCCATCTCTCCAGCCCCATTTGACTTCTAATTAAAGAATATAATTGGGGATGCCTTAGCACTGACTGAAAGGAACTGAATAGAGATAGTCTCTACTAGACATCTTGCAGAGGACCCAGGTTCGATTCCCAGTACCCACAAGGTGGCTAACAGCCTTCTGTAATTCCACTTCCAGGGGAATCCGATGCTCTCTTCTGACCACAGGCATTGCACAACACAGGTACACTTACATACATGCAGGCAATACACTCACACACACACAAAATTAAAAACAAATAAAATTTTTAAAAAAGAATACAGTTGATCTGCCTCTTACAGAGACCCTGCATTTTTTTTTTATTAGTCGATGTTTTTCTTTTTCTTTTTCTTTTTTTTGTGCGTGTTTTATGTATATATGTTTGTGCCTATGGATGGGAATGTGGTGGTCAAAAGTTGACACTGGCTGTCTTCCCTCTCTACTTTGGTTTTTGGAAGTCTCTCACTGAACCTGGAGCTCGCCATTTCCCTGGGACAGTAAGCCCTGGTGATTCTCCTTGTCTCTGTTTCCCCTCTCTCAGCACTAAGGTTACAGATGTGTGCTACCACACACCGGTGCTGGGAATCCTAACTCAGTTCCTCCTCCTCTTCACCCACTGGGCCATCCCCTCAGTCCATGTGGCATGTGGATCTTTTTCATAGGAAATACGCTATGTGCTTTTTATTGATTATTTATTATAATATTGATAGAGTATATTTAGAAAGGACAGCACTCCAGAGACTATAAGTGGGAAAGTAAGCAGGGAAAGGCATATGCTCCAAAAGTTGTGTTTATATTTTAACTGCACAGTATTATTAGTCTTTTTGGTAAATTATATACATTTGTACTGGAAAGCCAATTATCACCTATCAGGTAGGGTGTGTGTGTGTGTGTGTGTGTGTGTGTGTGTGTGTGTGTGTGTGTTTCTTCTGTCTGAGTAGTCTCGCATAATGTTGCAATTTCCAGTACTGTGGTTAATGTTAATTTACCTCAGTTTCTAATTAGAAGATAAAATGTTAAAGGTTAGAACGTGGTTCATGCTGCTCATGAAGAATTCTAAGAAACTGAAAACTAAAACACACATTACTAATTTTACTAAAGTGTTTGAAATCCAGAGGGTTGTTACTTTTGCTTGCATCATTTAGGAGGGAATTTAAGTGCTAAAATCTACTTTTACTGCTTTTCAGGATTTCATCAAAGGTCTTTCCATTTTGCTCCGAGGGACAGTACAAGAAAAACTCAACTGGGCATTTAATCTGTACGACATAAATAAGGATGGCTACATCAGTAAAGAAGTAAGGGGAGCCACACATCTGAGCTCTGCACTGGTTTTGCTGCTTCAAAATGTTAAACAATTTCAATTATTAATTTGAAAATCACATTTTAAGAAATCCCAAATATTTTATGTAATGGTGGTAGAAAGAGGATATATTGAAACTAAAAAAAAAGAAAAATGGAATGAATAGGACTAGTTTGCTATAAACCTCCAAAAACAACAAATAACACATCAAGATTGTGTATCTTTTTCTCTACTGGTGATACATGGTACAAAAGCAGGTGTCCTTGAGCATGATGGAGGCTTTCCAGTCAGGTAAACTATGTGGTTTGCAGAAATTCAAGCTCAGAGAGCTAGGGTCCCAGAAAATCAGCAGCTACCAAAGCCTCCTGGCCCAGTGGCTTCCAAGTCCTTTGTCTCAAAAATTCAAAAATGTATTTCACAGTGGAGAGGAACGATGAGGTTTTAGAAAGGAGCTTATTATAGTTGGACAAGTGGGAGTTTAAGAGAAAAGGAAGGAAACATGGCCTCTTTATAGCAGGTGTGGGTCCCAAGAAATGGTTTGCCAACAAGAGTCATTGTCTAGGGGTGAATGAGGCTTTTCTGGGCTGAGATGGGGGAGGTGAGCTGATCAGTCCAGTTGGTATACTCACTGAGGTGTTCATGGGCCACTCCATCCCAGGTGTATGGAATGGAGTTTATACGTGTAGTTCCCAGGCAGTTGCTCTCTGTAGTATAAAAGAAGCAGGATAGAAACAAGGACATTTCTGCTTCTGGTCAAGGTCAAGAATCAAGGTCCCTACCCCTAAAACCGACCAGTTTCTACCTCCTGTTCTCACAACTGGCACTTTCATTAATACTGACAGTGGAATAAAGATTGTTGTTGGAATCAAATTAGAAGTGTACCTAAACCATGTTAGAATGTCTGACCTGAACCCTCCTCCCCAGTACACTCCATATGGAAGTATGCAATTTCACAATCCTGTGGACGGAGTGTGCTGATTTGCTCTGTAGGGATGGATGGAGGCAATGATGGGCTCTTCAAACACATTTGCAGATAGGCTACCCATGAAAGACAATTCACAGAGCATCATAGGGTTTATTAAGCCAATTCAAAATTCAGTGAGAGAAGGAAGTGAGGATGGGTAACCACACTTAGTGCAGGATGCAAATGAGGTTGAAAGAGCTCTGTGCCAGGATCCCAAGCTCACTCCATGTTCATGGCCTGCCTTTCTCTCTGCCTCAGTAGCTTCCTCAGAGTTGAGGTCTGAACACAGGGTCCCAAGAGAAAAGGTACTCAGGACCAATGACGTGAACCTGCCTTAGCAGACACAGAGGCCAGTGTGCAAGGACACCATTGCTTCAATAGTTACCATTGGTTGTTCTTTGAGTAGAGCACACATGGGGTCAGAAAGTGTCACCCACGGGTGCTAAATTAAGACTTCATGAGTAGTTCTGCTGCTCGTATGTATGGTATACTATGATATTCACTGCCTAGATGCCTCAAGAACGTTCAGATCTTAGTCCTTCCCAATTGTATATGCTTTTTTATTTCAGTGTTGGGAATTGAATATAGTATTAATTTTCCATCCTTTTCTGTTTGATACATCCCATTTCTGCCTATGTCTAATAAACATCTATGTTAAAGTCTTTAAAAGTTTCACCTATTTTTACTGCTTTATCATTTACACTGCCTAGATGCCTCAAGAACGTTCAGATCTTAGTCCTTCCCAATTGTATATGCTTTTTTATTTCAGTGTTGGGAATTGAATATAGTATTAATTTTCCATCCTTTTCTGTTTGATACATCCCATTTCTGCCTATGTCTAATAAACATCTATGTTAAAGTCTTTAAAAGTTTCACCTATTTTTACTGCTTTATCATTTACAGCAGAATCTAATACTCTCAAAAATATATTCTGACTAATATA